TGAGAATATCGTGGAGCACGGTTGAACTTGCCTGATCTCAAATTGTAGTTCCGTGCATGCCACAATAAAGGCATAATTGCGGCATTTTGCGAAAATAAGCGGTGGTAACGAAATTCTCATTGCCTCAGCCATTTTGCCCAACACCTTCCCTCAATCTTGAAGCACGCTCGTTCTCTAAAGGGGCGATACTTACGCTCTAATGTTTTTTGCCAATCTACTTCCATACATTTCAGTCATTTTCAGCGCGTCATGACGGCGTGCAAACTTTTTTGCTTCAAATTGTATAAGATCCGAAAGACTAATCGGTGAAAATGTTTTTGGGGACAAAGTTATAGTTCTGAAGGTGTTTCTTCCCTTGAGAAATAGATTTTTAGAAAGATTTTGAAATATGACGAAGAGTGATAACACAGAGAATAGCAAAAAAAATATAAATCAATTAAAAAAATGTATGATCACGCATGATAGATTATACCATTCAATTCTGAAGAGATGATAAAGCAACATCGGATCAAAATCTAAATAGAGAATTTCTACGAATGAAATATCACGAGGCTCGTTGAAAGCTCGTAGAAAGAAATCTGCTCAAAACGAACTTTATCGCTAAACTAATATATATATTTTCTAAAACCAGATTCCTAGAAGAAAAAGAATTGTTATTATTACGACCTAATAAAAGAGTTCCAACGATTCATTCTACAAAATCGAATGAAATAATAAGCGTGTATAAACAATATCTCATCTCACCGATAATTCTCTGTCAACGAAAAAAAAAAAAAAATACAACCATCCCGACTGTCAAATATCACACGCAGTGGAATCTTCTTCGTCCTGAAAAATGTCGCGACCGCTGTTCGACGTAATGCCATATCCCATCCATCCGTGGCACGGCTGAGAAGTAATTTCGCAAATCTTTCTAGGTCGCGCGATATTAACGGACGGTCGGAAAACGAAATATCACGCTTGAATTTCCACGGCTTGCACCGTCATCCCCGAGACATGTGTCGGGTAGCGCGTGTGCCGCCTATATGAGGCCGGCAAGTGGCGAGAATCCTCGCGAGGGGAGCGCGGAAAATCCGACATTACGTGTATAATAGATAACTCGATGTATTATTTTATTTGCCAAACACTTTTCCATCATTTGCACAACGCGGATCGATCCGGATTGATAACGACAGAATATTTCAAGTTTTAATCTCAGTTTCACGATCTTATTCGATCACAAAAAGTATTGGAACCGCTGGAATTTGAGAATAAAATAATTTGTGAAGAATGAAGCTAAATAAGATTTTTTTCCACGCTGTAAAGTCTGAAGTTTATTAATCAGATATTAAGTAATCTTTCAGAAATTTATTATTATATAGGAAAAATTAACTTTTATGAAAGTTCTTCATTTTATATACATTCGATAATAAATTAACCATTATCTACGTTAAAAACAATAACTTTTTTAAACACCGATTCATTCCAATCGAATTATTTAATTATTAATTTTTCTTAATTTCCTTTGCAAATTCAATTTTAAACAAGTTTTCGCGTTATTAATTTTTGGCTTCATTATACATATATATATTCGTTCACTGCGCATACGTGTGCATCATGGAAACGCAATAATGCCTTTAAGAATAAAGTCTCGGTAGGCTCGAATGATGGTAAATTTCGCGAAACGACGGTACATCCGGCCAAATTATACATCTCATAAAATATTCCCGGCCGGTACCTCGAAGCAGAAAGTATTTCGCATAATATCTTCTGGAGCCATGCGGAAGAAGGAGGGCGAGAAGAGGAAGGGGTTGGCAACCCCTGTCCTGGTTCGATCCGTTGCGGCTGAGAAGGAGGGAGAAGGAGAGTGGAGAGGAGGAAGAGGAAGAAGAAGGCTGGGCACGATACTCCAGTGAAAAAGAGAGAAAAGGAATAAATACAGGAGCAGAGCTCGAAGAAGAGAAAGAGCCAGGATCGTCCCGATACGCTGATACGGCGGAACGATGCGAAAAGAACGGCACAATATTTCAATATGCTAAAATTATCGAGCGTTTCCTCTCTCTGTAATTTTGTTTAAATAAAAATTTCCAATTCTCTGCCTATTTTTAACGAAATTAAAAATATATGGAGTTAAATATTAATTTTGCGAGTGTATAAGATGTGATCCAATTAACAGGATGGAATAAAAATTTCGAAAGCTATCAACGTTCTTTGAAAATGATTCACTACAACAATCTCCTTATTAATTTGTTCATTGTTTCATAAATAACATTTTACTCAATTCCTCCTAACAATTCCCAAAATAAATATCTTTAATTGTTGCTCTAGGATTTATCTCTTCATCAAAATAATCACAAGAGTAGATTTGCAACAAACAAAATTATTCCACAATTATTATTAATTTATGTTGTCTCACTCATTCAAAGCAGGAAATATTCGCGTGCTTATGGATGGCAGCGTACGCAGTAAGCGCTCGATTGATCATAAAAATGGGGGCACACGATTGAAAACGCCGTGTTCTTCCCTAATAATACAATTATTCTTTCGTGGACAGGAGGCAGGAAACAGGGTTGCGAACTGTTCCAGCAGAGGAGCAGCGCGAAAGGAAATGCACGACGTCGTATCGAGATATCGAAATGGAGCGTTACATCGCGGTTCTATTTTCCTCGGCCGCGTAAACCATCGCGTATTCCTTTCTCGTGAAGCGATAGCTACTCGGGGTCCAGTCGATATCGTCAGTCTTCGGGGAGATGGTGGAATCGGATTCGCCGGACATGTCCGTCCAACCGTAAAATCGAGTCGTATATTTTGGTATTTTTTCGCGGGGGGGATTCGATATCGCGTGCTTTCAAGTCCACCATTCTTTTTCTTCTTTCTTCGCGGCATGCACAGTGATTCGTCAAATGTCGTAAATATTGTATAAATGTGTATTACAAATTTATAACCATATATAGAGTGTGAATATATCTTCTAAAATTAATGATTTATGGACATAAATAGTTTTCTTTTTCGTAGAATAAAATCGAATGGTATCAATCGATTTGCATAAATAGAAAATATATGAATATTTAAGAAAAATGTTAATCATCTTCGCATCTAATGATTATTATTTCATCTCAATCAATCTCGAGGATTGAAATTGTGAAAACAAATGCTGTAATTTTATTCAAGTGCAAGAAAATTCACGCGTGTTCATTCAATGATTAAGTTAATCATCGCGAAGAATATTTAATTGAATAAACCGTGTGTCTGTTGAATTAATTGAGTGAAGTAGATTAAATACAGATATCGATAATGTTAATTGCGATAATTAGACATTGTTCATTTACATAAACAATGTATTTTTCTCCCACATATTGCCCTTTTTAAACTATAACCAGTTATACAGTTTTACAGTTATTATCAATTACGAATTTCACGTTGAATCTAATCAACTACAGTTTTCGATTATTCCAATTAATCCAACCGCGATACTTTCAATACAAATTCGATATGAAAGTTATGAAAGCCACGAATGTAACAAAGAATTCTTCCATTCGATTCTTCAAAACTCTTCATCATCGAGCTGTAAATGGGTCGACGAAACATGCGCGTATATATATATATATTCACACGGTTGAAAACCGAGACACCTTACAAACGGGATATCCCAAAGGACAGTTCGGGCCAAGGTAAACGAGTTCAAAGGATCGGGCAAGCAAACGATCGGAAATCGAAGGGACGAAGCTCTTTCAGCCTGCTCTCTAAAAGCTCTACTCGCCCTCTGTGACTCGAGTAAAGAAAAAAAGAGAAATTTTTTTTTTGAAAGCTGCACCCAGCTCTTTGACAGTCTCGACACAGCCCACGACTTCGACTCGCCTTCACTTTTCCATCCCTCCCAGGCTAAAAAGGAGGTAAGCAACTGAAAAAGTTGAAGGTGAGTCCGTCGGTTTAACCGTGACAAGAAGTTCAGAGAAACGTTGGTGAAGAATGTAAGAAGTTCGAGATATCGGTGAAAGCCTAAAAGAGGGGAAAAGTCGGACGTTTTTCTCAACTCGAGCTCAACATAGATTCGAGTCAGAACTGAAAGCAACGACGGTATAAACGATGGACTCTATCCGAGAAGCAGGAAACTGAGAGATATCCTTCGTGAACGAGTGATATCCCACAGGAAACGAAACTTGACATGGTGTTCTGTTTGGTTAGCCGCGGGGTGTTTCATTGGTTCGGACATTGGGGAAATACTACACTTTGAATCGACTATATATTGATAGAGGGTAGGAAAGGTAGATTCTCTTGGTAGAAGAGATACACAAAATGTCCCATTTTGACTCAGATATGTCTTGGAGATATCTGTGCTTTGCCACGAAAGAAAAATTGTGAACGGGGATACGTTCAATGACGTATCAATTTTGACACTTTGAGTCAAAGTAATACAGTTTACAGTATTGATAAAATTAATTTCTTTTCTCTTTCAATTTGATAGAAATAGAATAGAATTTCATGCAGGAATCAAGAATGTGAGAAAATAATCTTAAATTTGTATGATATTAAATGAAATTATTAAACTTATACTCTAGATTAAATATAATACGTGACGTATTGTTATTGTTTGAACATAAAATAATTTTCTATCTTCCCTTACAATTATATCGTTAAATATATCCCGTGGTATTCTCAAATACTTCAATGTTACAAAACGTAAGAGTTAAATTAATAAATTTCAAAGAAAATTGTAATACGAATCTCGAAGGGAAGAGAACAAGAGACAACAACGATTAATTTAAACGTAAAAAAAGAAAAGAAATTAACAGGAAAGGAATAGAATGTATATATAAATAGAATAAAATGTTGCAAAGTCGTCGTTCATTGTCCTTGTCATTTGCCATTTTGATTTTACACGATACCGCTTTCTACTTGCTAAACTAGACGACAACCGTATACGGTTTCTGTATGTCCACAACCGCTATGAGTTTTGAAACATTGTAATAGGATTCCTCGTTACGACTCGTGTAACATAAAGGACTTACGCGAATACTCACCTCACGTGGAAACAGGGATGAAAAGCTGCCGGATTATCCTGAGGCGAGAACTTTGGTAGAGTGCCGTGAAGGAGGGCAAGACGTACCACCAACAACACACCAAACTGTAAATAAAAAAAGAAGAATCCTTTTTAACGATCCTCTCCGTTTATTTCGATTAAACATTTGCTCCCCGATTTTTTACGCGCCTCTCAACTTAGATTTTCAAGAATATAAAAATTTTCGAGATTAAATGAAATTAATTCTTTAAATGAAGCTCCAATTCTTTTTTTTCGTTCGTTTTTTATAATAAAACACGAGATAAAGTAAAATTTTAAAAGAAATGTTCAAATTTTCGTCTTTAATAAAAGTATTTTTACAATTCTAAACATGTATCACGATCAATGCGCTTCAACGCGATATCAAAATTTTAAAACAATTTATAGAAATGAGAATATGTATATGTATATGTTTAAAATGAAAAGATTATCCTGTTCCTATCTTCAAGTGAAATACTCTTTTTAATTTCTTCGGTATTTTTGATCTACCAGGCCAGTCTCACGCTAACCAGAGTATTCCACGGATTGTTTCTCTAAGATCTGCCGGGTTCTAAAACGCGAATTTTTTACCTGCCGTTTACACGGCTCGAAAGATGAATGAGAGCGAAACAAAAGAGAATCCAGATTGCGGAAGAGCCTCTTACTAGCCTTTTCTAGAGGAGGCTCTCGACTTGCGGCTCAATGACTCGCTACACTGCTAGAAGCATTGGAAGCTTTCATTAGCTGGCTTGGAAAACGGAAAACAAGAAAGCCTCGGGCTAAAAATCTCACGTGGATATACCCTATCCATACGAATTAATCGTATACCTCTTCGTTCCAAGAATAATGATGATTTCGTTAGATTCCTGCGTTGTACATTATTTCAGAGAATATTTGAACCATTGAAAATTTCGAACACTTAAACACGATACCGAGAATAAACGTAAGGTAAACTTTTTCCATTTGAAGTTCCGTTTCCGATAATCAAGCTTGAAATCTTGTCGAGTACACCGGTTGTCTTCGAATCTGGAGATGCAATCATCCGTCAAATTATTCCTTGCACTGAAGAACTGTAGAAACTTGCTTCATCCCATCCAACGGATAGAAAGCTATTCGACTATTTATTTCTATTTACTTTTCAAAAAAGCTGTAAGCTTTTGAAACTCGCCATCGATCTTCCATTCCAACAATACGTTTAAAGCATGGACGACGAGGACGCGTGCGGTGTAAAAAAAACTAGAGTCATCGTCGTGCACATAGAGAGGTTCCTCGATGGCATTTCTGTCACGTGTCCGGTGCCAGTCCACTATCCCTGCCCTCCTCCAGTAGAAATCACTCTTTACGCCTTACTCCCCAACTTGGAGCACGTAGACCGCCATCAACCCTTTCTCTTTCCGCCATAAATTCCTCCACGCCCTTCTTGGACAGATGGAAAAACGAGTGGATCCTAGGAGAGGGTTTCCACGAGCGCGGACAATGTCTGCCAATCCAAGGTATTCATATTCTTCTTCGATCGTCGTACATGTACGAGCACTCGAAACACGTTCCATCTCGATGTCGAACGACTCTCTTTCCTCGCTAGACATCTTCCCTCCGACAGAGAGGGAATATCGTTGTCGTGTCGGTGACCCACCAGGGGAACAGAAGACAAAAATCCAATTTTGATAAATATCCAAAGCACGAGGAACCTCTATCCAGGAAGGGGTGGAATTCCCTTTTGTTGGTCTTTCGAGAAATGCTTGGGACGGTATTGTAATAACGCCTTCTGCACACCCGAAAATATATTTCTCGCGGGATCATCGTGCATTTTTATTCTAGGATTCGCACTTTTTATCGAGGAATAAAAAAATTGGTAAAACGAGAGGATAAGTCAGAAATAGGATATTCGTTTTGTTTATAATATATAATTTTGAAATGGATTGGACTGCGATAAAGTTAGGTAATCTTGGTATTACAAATATAGTTATTTAATGTTACGAAAAGAAGAAAAGGAGACATGGGGTTTTATCACGGGTTTGAATTGTCTTTTAGATTTATGCCTCAGACATCTGTGTGTACTTGAACGAGAAATGTACGTATCATGAAATCATTGCTCTGTATTTATGTATAAATCCTAGCCTAACATTTGGAAAGACTTTGTTATAAAAAGATATTCAATATTAAATATTTATTCGCATAAAAATTATATTAAATGACTCGAACATGTACGAAACTAAGATAAAATAGTGAAATTAACGAAAGGCAAAAGTAGAGGATTCATTAATGAATCTAATTAACGCGGGATTGTGTGTTTAACGCATTATCGGATCCTCTATTTCGCATACCAGGGATCTGTTAATCAAACGAAGACGGTTCCCCCATTGATTCACCGAATGGAATTATAATTACAGCCTACAGGATAATTCAAAGCAGAGAGTTAAGATTTAAGCGGTAAACCAATCGACTAATAATAGACCTAGTGATGTAGAACCAGTCAACAATCTGCGTGTGCCCAATAAGCATTCGCTTATCGATTACGATTGTTACCACTCCAGGGAATCGTGACGTACAATCCGTGGTACAATCGGAAGTAAACAGTGTTTCAACGTGCATCGATAATTACCGGACAGATGAATTAATAATCTAATAATCTTAGAAGTTTGGAAAGTTTTTAAACTCTAAAAATTTACATAAGAATGATCGATTAATTTCGTTAATTAGATCAATCAATGTATCGTTGTTTTAAAATATTCTCTCCATCAAAATCCATCATCTTTCGAATCTTCTTCCTTTTTTATCCCTCTTCAGTGTACAATCTTAAAACAATGTATTAAATTTTCCACACGAGGATTCAAGAACCCTAGGAAAAATTTCCACGAGAGTGGTTCCAGGAATAATATATCGTTTCCGGGATCGCCAAACAACACCATAACACGAAATTCACCGAGGTCCACCGTTCGAGGCTCAACAAATTCAACGCTCTTGAAATTCAGTGATTCCCCGAGAGGGAAAAGAACGTCGAGTAATCTTATAGAAGGGATGAGCGTGGCATGGAAGGAACGAGAAGGATGGAAACTCGGTTAAGGATATACGGGAGGGGCAGCGTTTCCTCCACGTAAATTAGCATAACTCGGCTTCACGTTTGGCGCAAGTACATCCTTCGATTTCCTTCCCGCGATACTTTGTATTATTCTTGGCGGAGGAAAGAGAGAGAGAGAGAGAGAGAGAGAGAAGGGGAAAAGAAATACAAAACTGTGGTTAGATCGAAAGTAAGTAAAGTCGAGATTTGTTATTCGTACGGTTAATAATAATTCAACGTGGAACGTTAAATTAATCAAATCGATGACTCGTTAATAATGGCATCGATGCCATTATTGGATATAAACGCGCGAAATTATTTCTTCGTTGGGAATTTCAACTCCCAAGTCACCAACTGGTGCATGCTTCTCTTAATTGATTACTTCATCGTATTAATATCGTATTAAACTCGTTTTCAAACGAAGGGAAAATGAATTAACGTTTCCGAACGATACAATCGGATCTAAAGTGTCAAAGCTTCGTCCTTTCGACGTGTCCAAACCCATATTGATTTTAAACATCGAGACGAATACGCGAAAATTGGTTTTTTCCGAAATAAAATAATTTTAATCACGAGCATGGAACACAAATACACAATGTAGAAACAATTATTTCAATATATATAAATGTTCAATCACAGAACATTTCCACTTGCACGAACAAATGATCATATTTAAAATTAAGCAAACCGGATAATTCGCTCGAGAAAAGAGAAGAGAATCGACTTTCTCAAGGAAGCAACGATAAATCGTATCTTCATAACCACCCTCGTTCCTACCATCCCCTATTTCATTTTAAATCCTCGTGAGCCACGACCGCTTTACATCGTTGCACAGCCTAAGCAGTTTCCGCTGGGGGTCGGCCAACACGAGAATTCGAGGGAAGCGGAGTTTATCTTACGCGATCGTAAAAGTGAACTCTCGAATGTATCTGCGTTAACGATCGTTAAACTTACTTAAGCCACGAGATGCTGGAAACATCGCCCGTTCGACGATAAAAAAAGAAAAAAAAGCTGGAGATCCCGGTCGTTGAGAATTAACAACGCGGATCCGAGGCCGTTCGCAAAATACATCGAGACAGGGAATTTCGAGTCTCGTTCCCCTCGGTCACGATTGCGTGTTTTCGCCATTAAAAGGCGCAATTTCACGACAATGACATTGTATTTTGATCGGCTTTATATCTCTGACAAGTTGAATGCTTGTGTAAAAATTTGAATTGTGAACCGAGATCTATGGAAAAAAAAAATATAACAGGCATTGCGACGTTTAAAGAATGGAATAGATCTCTGTATGCTCTATTTACAAAATTTGATTTCGCATAAAAAAAAGGTGAGCACAGATTTGTATAATAAGTTGAACAATGTATCGACATCATATTTTATGATGTAGTACATTCACATATTTTTGATAACGTAATAGATTGAATCTACATTTCATGGTTATATTTTAACGTGACCATGCATCATGATTTTTACTCAAACTTTAGACTACCATACCACAAATAATTAATAAAATTCAATCGGTTTCTCACTTTCCGAGCAAAAGAATAGCAAGAATCAGAAGTTGTGGAAAACAACTGGAGAGAACAATTATACAAAGTTTCGTTGAGATCATCGCGTTCGATGAATATTGCCTCGTCAATGCACGCGGAATACACATCCAACTAATTACCAAAGACAGAACTTGCGTCGATTTAGCATGCCGAATCGGTGGTACAGCCTCGAGGGCCGTTGCAAGCCGGAAACAAAGCGAGAAGCGCGAATGCTCGGAACAATATTCCCGATCGAGAGTAACGAAGGAACTTCCGCGAATTTTCCAACCATCTCCGCTCAAACAAAGCCGTATATGTTCGCATTATATATATCTTACGTTCTCGTGCGCACAATGAATGGATTTGTACTATCGTGTAAACGACCCTCGCCATCGTTCCACGTCGAACGAATTCATCGGTAAATATTTCCAATTCGAATTCTCTCGTTCGAAATCAGTGTATAAATTGTATAAAAAGAAAGTGAACTTGATTAACTATTATCACACGATAAATGCAATACACAATTGCTCGTCTCTAAATTCCGTTCTAAACTAGATTAAACGTCCGTCACGGTTTCAATTATTATCGACTCCGTGAGACGGGATGGACGGTTACTTGGATGGACTCTCCAAGAGATCTTTCCATTCGTTTCTGTCCAAGGCATGTCGAATGTAGACATTGTTGGTAATACGATAACGGCGAGGGTAAAACATGCTTCTCTCTCTGTCTAGCTTGGAAGATCGTGAGGGGCTTCCACGCACGAGTGACACGTTAAGAGGATTCGATTTTGTGGTATTTCTGCAACGAGGAGGGGGGAAGGCTTTCTTTTCTCTTATTGTCGTCGGACAGGCTAGTTGACTTGTTCGAGTGTTACTTATGAAATTTGATTTGTGTAATCGAGTTAAGGCAGATGAAAGACGTCTATCAAGGATTACAGGGTTTTCCGCGTATTCGATTCGAGATTTTATTAATAACGGAAAGGAGATAAATTGAAATTATTTCAATGAATGGCAATAGATAATGATTAAACTCACCGAAAAAAGTAGGGCGGCAGCTCGACGAGAAAAGTGTCTCGAGTCGTCGTTCCATCTCGCCTCGAAAATAGATCTGAAACACGAGGAGTTTCCTTTTTTACTCGTTCAAACATTAAAACAATTCCCCTTTCGAGTGACGGTAGCAGATAAAAATCGTGTTAACAATCGAACGACTCTGTCCACGAGAGGGGAAGCGATCGTTTATCCGAAAGACTCGATCGAGACGCAGTTATTCAAATATTTACGCCGCGATCCAGTTTTAAACATTTAATCCGATTGCGGTGCTTCACAAAGGCAGAGCATCGCCTTTGCCCCCACACTCCTCCCACATTAATGCAAATCTTCCGCGCGTAAATCCCTATTTTCCGCGCGTATGCAAAGAAGGGTGGCGGCCACATTCGCGTATTTCACGTTTCACGCTACATATGCCGCCCCGTGATTTTATATTTCATTTTGAAACGCGATTTTATCCCGGAATTCCGGCCTTCCTCCGATTCCTCCCGCCTGTTTTAATAGGTTTGGCCGGGCGTGGAGACGGTTTACGATCGTCGGCCGATCGCGCGCCGTTTGCCACCGCCGAAAATAACGACCCTGATTGTTTCAAATGCCCGAAAGAAATAATGGAGGTGCATTAAGGGCCTCGATGAATCGGGCGCGAAAATTAATGGATGTTTATCGTTGCCTGCGTATCGTTCCAAGCGTGATTGTCGTTTCAGAAATTGTAATTATAGGGATCATTAAGTTATTAGGCGGAGAAAAGTATTCTTTTTCCACTTTTTTAAAATTGATATTTATCTTTTAATTTATAGATGTAAGAAACTTGTACTCGTTGAATTTTCTAAGATTATTAACAATATTCGCGTGTAAAGTTCGCTTCAAACATTAATAATTATTACTTTATACGATATAATACAATTGTATTAGAGTTACAATTGAAAATTCACAAATTGAAAATAAAGTTTATCGCGACAATTTTCCTCCTTTGCTACATATTAAATCGATGCCGGCTTCAAATTATGCTATCGCGTCGTGTTATAAAGAAGAAGAAGAAGAAGAAGAAAAAGAGAGAATTAAAGGGTGAGAGAGGAAAAGGTGGCGTAAAATCGCGCAATCTACGAGCCAAGGACACGGTGTTACTTCTTATTTCAGGATTTATCGGCACGAGCTACGTGCCACGTTTCGAAACTGTTCCACGGTCGCGCGCCTTAAACGCTTACCTCTTGATTGAATGCCAGGAGCGACAGAGGTCGTAAAGAAGGTTTAGAAGCAAAACAGTAATGCCTGTTTCCTTGGCAAGCATTGACAGCGCCCCTAGGCACACGCTGCTCCATACATAAGCCGTCGGCTGCCTGGAACAAGAAACAAGAAAAATTTCATTTCAAGCATTTAGAGAATCTGATCGTTAAGAATGGAATCGTGTAATTGGTTGTACTACCATTAAAAAGCTTTTTAGTACGGATTTAATTGGCACGACCACGGTTTTGTGAATTTGTGAATTATTCTTTTTTTTTTATTTAATCGTATGCCACGTAACACTTGAAAGGTATACACTCGTGTTTTTTAATTATAATTGATATCGTTGCCTTCAAGAATTTATTTTATCACGAGCTGTATTTCCGCAATGATCGTCGCAATGATCAGACCACTAATTCAACTAAGACGTTAAGAATATTTTCTTTGTTTTTAACACGAGAGCGTAGCCGAGAATACACGTAATACACAACAAAGAAAACTTATGTACAAAAGGATTTGCGTCTCGCTTGGGCAAACTTTGTTTGGGTCGTGGCACTAAGCTTCTGCTTACATATTTTGTCTTTTGGTATACTTTATGAGGATAAGGCGACGTTTCCAGCATGGCTATAAACAACTTAAATGTGGACCTATTCCTAATGGTATTTGAAGAAATGAATAATCTAACGAGGATTACATTTAAATCATTACATATAAAGGAATCGTTTTATTTTTATCTTTGGAAAATTTAGAAAAAAAAAAAATATTCTGAAATTTATCTCATATCTTTAGTATTCTCTTCCACCTTTTACTTTATTTAATGCTTGAATTTTATCGTTGAATAAATTTTTTTGGATTGTAATATATTATGTGTATTATTTCAACTGACATAGTCTTCTGAGAAAAATGGAGAACCATTCTTTTAGTGACATATATGCATTGTTCTAGGTGTTAAACGAGCAGTAACTTCAGAATACTGCTGTATCATCTCTATGTTGGATCTAGCTATGCGAAGCAAGAAACAAGAAAAAATTGCTACAATTCTTTTAACTAAAAAAAAAAAGGAAAATTGTACTTTGAATATTTCTTATATACATAAAAAAGAGCAGTATCTATTGAAGATCTTATTCGTGATAATTTGATGCGAGCTTTAAAATTTTAAGGAACAATAAGAAACTTTAGATAATCCAGTTTTTTTTCTAACTTACATTACTTTTCTTATTTACTATATTTTGCTGAAAAACAAAACGAGTATTTTATTATTCCTTCAGCAATGCAAAATAATTATGTAAAAGTAAAAATAATTCATATCATTTTATGTTTATCAAATGTTTAAAATGTGAATTATTTTATTGTATTTGTTATAAATTTATTTGTTAAATTAAATTGCATATTTTCTTACAACATTCGTAGCAACAATGAATATTAACTTTTATTATCCTTGGAGTATACTTCAAATTTAATAAAACCGCATAAAAGAAAAATTAAGCGATATTAAATCTATCTCTTATTTTTTAACTTAATTAATATAACAAAAAACAACGAATAAAGAAAAAGTTACGTAAAATCTGTGATTCATATCCAAAGATTAATATTTTTTCGTATTAAACGTAAAATTAAATTCTATTGTTAGAAAATTTATTTATTACTTCAAGATAAAATCTCGGTTCTAAATAAAATTACCGTTGAAATTAAAAGATCGCTTGCGGAGTTAACGTATTCTGAGCAAAGTTTAACGAGAATCATTATACCGTATAATAAACTTGACCCATCTTTGTATCACACTTTGTATCGCGAATAATTATATCCATTCTTCTCGCGATACAGTCAAGTCGCATTGTGTGTTGTATCGAACAATCATGGAAAATAGTTTAAATGTAGCATAAAGGGAAGAAAATTGGAGAGAAAATTTTTCGTGATTCGCAGTGCACAATGGATTAATGAAATTCTGGAAGTTAAATTTTAATTTAAATCCACACCGTTTTATCGATACTTTCGCGAAATTTATAGTAATAAAAATTTCAATCCCTCTGCGAAACTCGTTTGGCAAATATAAGAAAATTCTTAAGGAATTTAAAAAACGTTTGGAAAAATTTCGAAGGTAATTCGAATTTGCATTTAAATCGCATTTTCGAAATAGAAGGACGTTGAATAGGAAAAATATCGAAATTAATGGAAGATCGTTGGAAAGTATAAAGAAAAAATATTACGATAGAAAAGTATAATTTACACAGAGTAGGCATTGTTTTAAATGTATCTGTATGGAAATTCCAACAAATTGTAACAAATTTAAGGTTTACATACAGAGAATAATATTGAAATTTCACAAGTCCCCAGTAAAAATAATTTCTTTGGGAATAAAAAATTTGGAATTTCTGTTGATTGAACGTGAAATTGTGAAAGAGAAGTTTATAAGTTAAACTTATATTTTTCCTTTTCTCAAATGATATTAATAGACTGTGAATTTTTATAAAAAAATATCTTTTTCATAAATGTTTGTAGAAATAACCGATTATCCAATATGATATCAGAGCAATATGTTACATAATATTTTGTAGAACAATTTCCTTTTTTTCAGTTCAATTTTTTCTTATATAATTTCAAATTTAAATTTTTACATATCTATCTATTTTGATTGTATAAATATCTATAGTCTAGTTAATAAATTATGTGTTCAATATATACATATATAGATACATGGAACAAATGAAATGCTCAAAGAGATCAAATATTGCCATTCGTATCGAGAACTTTGAAATGATCAATTATTTTAAACAAACGAAATGAATGTTTCCTCTAAAAATGGAAGAACGTCGTATCGTTCGAGCTTTCGATCTTGTTCCAACAGATAACTAGAGAGATGTTTCAACTTTTGCTCGAGGTAAATTGTTATTTAAAAACTTTGTAATTTGTCATTTTAACGTGAATGATTCCCTTTCAGGGCAGAGAAAAGTTAAAGATATATCGACGATAACAATGGCATAAAGAAACTCTTGGTCGTTTTTTTCGTTCCTCCGATTTCTCTCCCTCTTTCTTTCCCTATCCTGCTCGAGAAGCTAGAGTTTTACAAAAACTATTCAAACTTCTTGAAATTAAATTAAATTAGAATATCTTTGAAGCTCGGCATCGATGTGGAAACTTTGAAAAAGTCGAATATCAAAGCAGAAGGGAAACGTTCTGAACGAATGCGAAGGATAATTTTATTTTTAACGGCACAGGAAAGTGGAACAACAAAGAAACAAGAAAGAGAGAGAGAGAACAAAGAAAGGATATCGATGGTAGCAATCACGGGTTCGAGAACTTTGAAAAAAAATATATATATATATATATTGTAAAACGAATTAGAATTCTCGTGATATAGGTTAGGTATTTCTTACAAAATAATCAATATCAAACTATATATATATATATATAATATATTTCATGACTTTTCATTCGAATCTGTTATACAATACTGAATTTTTTATGTTGAATTTTTATTTAAATTCAATTTAAATTTCACTCTTTCGAATTCGAAAATGTATGTATGTTTTACGCTTTAAATGGAAATTCTGTTCGAAAAAGCATTGGAACAAGTAGAAAATTGTAATTTTAATTTTTAATTCAATAATTCTTCCCTCTTTTATATAGCAAAATTCATTATACCTTTTTGTGATTAACGAAGAGAGGAATAATTAAAATATCGTAAGAATTTCTTTCGTCTCAACAACATCGTTGAATATTTTTTTAATTATCTCATAATAAGTATGACTAAATAAAATTAGTCATACTTTCTTTACATTCAGAAAAATTATTTATTCGTGCAATTATTATTCCGGCTGGACGATATAAAGTTTTCCTTTTGAAATAATACAGAAATAATAATAATTTCACGGATAAAAGTAACGAATAAACATACTTCTTTCCCAACTAATGAATAAAAGAAAATTAATTGTGAAAACGGCATAATTGCTTCTGACGAAAAACAAAAAAAAAAAAAAAACAAACAAATTATACAGAATAATTTATATATCCTGCTTGAAACACCCATCATTCAATCCATTTCGTCAAATAACATAATTACTCGTCGAAAATTTAAAATTATCCAATTGGACTTCTTATCTCCTATCTTTGCAGCCTAGATGGCGCCATATTCGAAGGATGGGAGGAAGCCGGAAGGCAAAAGCGCCGGCTATGGGTAAAAACAGGGAGGACGTCCAGAGCAGAGCGACGCGGCATTTCTTACAATTTACATCAAAGCTCCGTAAGTAAGATTAATGAACGGGTGTCGTAACGAGGCCGGGTGTCGAGTTCCGAGGGTGGGGGCAAAAACAGGCAGCCGTATGCCCGCGGAAGATGGAGGATTACGCGCAGAAATTATTACTTATTGGATATTCAGCCGGCAATTACCACGGAGGGGGGAAAAAGAAGTCGAATCGGAAAAAGAGCCACCGTTTCGCGAATTGTAAGTCCACGTTCCGACAAAAAGATGAACGGCCAAGGGTGAGATAAAGGTTTAAAAACGGCGAAAGGTCGTTGATCCTATGATTTATCGTGTTCAACAATAGATTCATCGCAATAGATGCATCGTTGCTGAATGCAACTATTCGTACTTGGGATGGAAGATTTCTTTATTTAACCTGTTCG